AATAGCCTAGAACAGATCCTCAAATCTGGATTAGCCCAAAGGGTGAACCGGATAGAACACCCAAAACTCAATGCATATATGATGGGAATTAACTTATCCTTTATCTATCTTATACAAAACTCCAAAGTCTAATTTTTTTTTCAAAATATAATAATAACATTTGTAAATTTTTGTTAATATGAAAGATATAAACCTATCAAAATGTATATATAGTTAAATTGTTTAATAACTTATATCGAATGCGTAGTTTTATTAAAATTATTTGCATGTAATCATTAAATGTGTTGGATGTTGTGTAGCTATACAATGTCCAAAACTTTAGTTGAGCGAATTTGATTTAGTGATTGTACAGTAAAAAGATAGTGACTTCGATCTTGAAACCTAATAGTCTAATAAATTCTAAATAGAAAAATTAAAACAAAAGGAAATGAAAATAGTAAATGGCTTTAAATATTGAAATAAACATAACCTTTTAAATCAATTTAGCGAATTCATGAGACAATTTTAAGGCTTTTAAAATTAAATGGTGGAAAATATATGTAAAAAGAACATTTTTAGATATATAAATGTCCATGCACTATTATAAGAGTTTTGTTAACCATTTATAATTAAGGTAGGGATAAATCTTAGTAATATATACTCCGTATATTTTATTTATATAAAATTATCAGTATCCATACCTATATACGAAGTATTTGTGTTGTATACTATATTTAATCAGTTGTTGGTTATATATATGACTATTATATAATATATAGTTTTTGGCACAATGCTTAACTTAGGAAAATATATGTTCTGGTAGGTCAAATATAAGATTATTATTATGTCTATAGATTTAATGAGGATCTGTTCGGGTAAATAAAACATGTATATATTAGATTGATTGTAGATACTGATGCGGATGGTATAATAAGAAAATTTTAGTTTTTTCTCAACGGGAGATATAAATAAATTAGTCCACTTCTTATATAGCTATGTGGAGTATTATTCAATTATTTTCAATTAATAAAATAACATTATAAAAAATTAAAAGAAATTCAAATAACATAAAATACTGTTCAAATTACGTTCCTTTAATTTTTTTTATTGACCATTAGTAACCAAGTCCTTTAATAGTAAATGAATTACCTTTGTTTTTATTTTTATTTTTCCTACAGGTTTAATAATTTGATTTATAGACCGTGTAGCGCACGAACACTATGCTAGTTTTATATATTATTACAACTCTCCGTTATTACCTAGTATCTAGGCCAAGAAAAGGCATGATAAAGGTTTAACCACGACTATTTATTACAAATCCAAAACTAGATGTTAATTGCCTTTTGGACTAGACAAGATAAGATATGTTTTAACTTTAATTTGCCTTTAATCAACATAGATTAGTAGTTAAGTTAGTTAGATTAGCCATCATTGCTATTGACTATTGTCACCCATCAAATCCTAATTTATCAAGAAATTAATTAGTCAGGAGCCCTAGTCGTCATTGCCTCCCTATCTTTTCACTTGAATAACAATTTGCCCTTGCTTCTTTGACAAATTAATCTGATGTGCCATTTGATAGTGCAATTTTGCTCTAACGCCAAGTTGAGATTAAATTTTAATAGCTTACGGTTACAATTTTGAATCACGAGTTAAATTATAAGTACCGAACATTATTTAGACAATCATAATACTTTATGCTTTAATCGTTACCATTATTCATGTCGATCAATATTTAATTAACATGAATATGTTTTTTCAATTATTGACACTCGCCAACAACTTAAAGAACATCATTATTGCAGTATCCATTATCCAAAGCTATGTAATTGTGAATTGTCATATCGATAGATAAATTATCTCATACGAACTGTAACATTAACATATCATGATTAACCTAGATAGATGTTAAGCTAGGCCCGTATATATATTTTATTTAGTCGGGCTATGTTAAGGCCCTTAGTCTAGGTTGTATAAATACCGAGTTTACACATAATGCAAATTAAGGATTCACATTCTTGACATGGTATCAGGCCAAATAAACCCTAAAAGCTGAATTTTTTTTTTTGACAATAGATAAGAAAGTTAATTACTAAAAGAAATGCATTAAGCTCAAACCAATCAACAATGATCAGTAAGCAATAAATTAAGAGCCCCTTAATTTGCTCCAATAGCAGTACATAGTTGAAACAATGATGCCATCTCATTTTCATTCTAATCTCCTCTAATTATACCCCTTTCTTTATCATGGCATGCAATCAAGACAAAAAGTACGCACCAAACTTGGCCAATAATAATCTTTTATATTAATGTCATTTTTGCAATTACAAATTTACGATTGACAGTTAGTTAAAGGGACCCTCATATTTGTGAAAAATCTAACGGTCAACACAACTGAAAGATACAATACAAAACATGAGTTATCAATAATCATCACAATAACTTTTGTCTTAGTAGTCAATGTGAATCATTCGAAACCACTCTATTTAATTTTAAAACAAAATAAAACCCTTAATAAGGAATAAGGATAAAAATGCTAGTGGTTTCAATTCCTAGAGGCTTAAGCTGCTTAACCCACCTTTATCATTTAAGTTTTAGGGTTACTAGGTATAAGTTTTATCTCATCCTTTTCATGTTCTTAATAAGTTAAAATCTTACATCAATAATATAAGGTAGGTTGTCTTACCACTTTAGAAGTAAGGACCTGTTCACAATCTTCACATGAATTGAGCTAAACTGAACTGATTGGAGTTGAACTGATTGGAGCTGAACTGAACTAAAAATAGCTGAAATGAATATTTTATAAGACAATGCAAAGAAATTAGGAGCTGAACTGAACTGAAATTAAGCTGAATTGAACAAGCCATAAGTGATAAGAGATTTATCAATTAAGCCAATAAATAATTATCATCAAGTTTAAATTTTTATGATTATATGTGTAATAATGTAATTAGCTAGACTAATTAATATTATATAAAAATCTTAATCGATCCTATACTTTCCTATAGGGTATAGGGTAACAAGTAGCTAAGCTAATTAATTAATAAGAGGGACAATGAAGCATGTGGGTTGTTTTTTGCCTTGGACTTTAGGGTAGTAGACAGATAATTGCCACTCGTGCAATTTTCCTTCATCACATCAAAATCTCATCTGGGAAAGGGAAATGGACTTATTACTCAATGATTGGGATAATAAGGATAAAAATCATTAATATCTTAGACCTACATAGTTAACTACATGCATTTACTATACTAACTATTTCAACATACTTGTAACATCTTTACAATATCTTATCCTTGAGATTCAAAGGACATTCACAATTTCACATGAATATGGATTCTTTTTATCACCCATTGCATCAACTAGTCAAGTACATCAAAAACTAAATCAAGAATCGACGTAGCCATTATTATTGATGATGGATCGCTCGTGTGTACATTGTAGTGGTGTATGAGGTGATCACGTCGACATCAAGTTATTGTTTAAGATTTATTAAGCTTTCTATTGCTACTCTTGAATAATAGTAGATAGAACATATCACTTACACGTAAAAGTATTTATCAACCACTTAAAAAAAAACATATACATGTGTTGATCCGCTATAATAATTCACTGTTGTGCATTACTAGCTTCATTTATAATAGTACTTGTTACTCCTTAACCTACTAAGCTCGGTAAACAAAAAAAGTAACTATATTTTTATATATACAAAAAGAGAGACTTGGATGAGTTCATCTGATCGATCTAGATAAGAGCGCAAGATAATGTAATGAATCGTAAGGTGTGGTAATAACAAAAATTTGTAATTGGCTTGATGTGTCTATTTTCTCTTAGAGAGGTAATTAGTACCTAATCATGCAAATACTAATCAAATGTGATTGTCAACCGTACTAGGCATGCAATGAGACATCAATTCTCTGAAATAGTAGTACAAAATGGTCCAAACAAGACAAATTAATGAACATAATTCGTTTTCTATTCATGTGGTTCCCTATTTTCCTAGTTGCCCCTACCATTCTCCTTATCAACACCTTTCGCTACTATAAAATTTTAGCTATATAGTTGCTTGAAATCTTGAATCAACTTTCTTCACTAAATTGAGTAATTTTACATAATTACTAGTACTAGAACTAAAGTTATGATACAATATCTAATCCATAGTATTAGAACTAATCAATCATATTTAAAAAATAACAAAATATCTAAATTATTAATAATAATTCTAATTATACCCTTACATTTGACAACAAATACAATAATAATTGACAACAAAAGAGTGCAATGGTACATTATTGTATGCACACATTTAAACTCACTGATGAACTCAAGGAATAAAGGAATCCAAACAAGGTATCACTCAATATTTAGATTCTCATAATTCGATTTCACACCCTCATTATAGTAGTATGAGTATTTATTTTAAATTTTATTTTATTTTTAAGTGTATAGAATGCCGTAAAAGCTATTACATAGATAAACATATTAAATATCAATTGCCCTCATACATTAATATGCACCTAATACATAGGCAACTCTTAAAAACTAAAGGAAGGTTCCCATCCAATTTGGAGCTAGAATTTGCAAGATGATCCAAAAATTTAGTCAAAACATGAAATTAAATAATGATAAGTTTGATAACAATATAACATGAAGCCGAGCTGACTCATATCTGTCACCATAAGAGTAATTCGGTAAGATATCATTTTTTATTTATTTTGTCAATTTTAAATGGTCATTAATAAATATATTTATTCTGTAAATTATTAATTTTGGTAAAGGCATTGGACTTTATTATTGACTTGAATCTTAGATCCGAATCATCACCAGTCACCACCTTTAAATACGGGTACTTAGTTCTTATTTTTGCTTGTTTATTTATGTTCTTCCCCCCTAAATAAAAATACTTAACATTATGATTATAAATCTAACTTTATACTTCTTGTATTCTTATGATCTTATCTACTCTGTATATACGAAGTACTTTGTATATAATATGAGACATTACTGGGACAACGCCCGTGTTCAAGAAGGAAATTTGACATTAAATAAGAAACAAAGGATTTAAGAGTGCTACATGTTATCTCGTCGAGCTTGAAATTCAAAAATGGCTCAATTTGCATAAATAATACTCGTATAAGACTGAAAATTTCAATGTTGTGAATAAGCTGAATGGAATTATATATATAGTTTTACTGCATATGCTTTTGTGAATAAGCTTAATGCGCGCTATACAGGCACGCGTGCAAACATGTATCCTCAATGCTTCGGACCCAGGAGAGCAAGAAGAAAACTTCTGTAATCGCCTGATGTTTCTGAGTAGACTGCATCAACCAGTGACTTCTTATACTTCTTCTCATACTCGGCCTTTATGTACTGCAAATCAAGCTCCACCCTTGTTATGATAACCCTGATGAGTGTTGTGTCATCAGTTCCCAAGCCCTTCATTGCTTCTCGTAGTACCTGTATTGCAGCAAGGGTTGCTTAAGACATAATAAATTGGGATAGTAATCATTTGTAATGTTTAACATTTTCCAATCAAAATTTGTATCAAAATTTGTCCAATAGTTTAAAGTTGATACAAGTAGAGACTTCATCTTGGCTAGGGACTAAATTAAGTTACCTTCGCAAAGTATTTTGCTGGGTTTTCTGCACATCTTAGACTTGTCAAAAGAGCGTATGCAAAGAGCCCGGATGTTTCTTTCTTTATAGCCTGCAAGAACAGCGAAAAACTCTCAAGTGAGACTGGTGTATGGTAAGACAAGGATCATTTATGTTAACATAGAGATTAAGGGGGTGAAATGTTACATTTCCATCTGTTTCTTTCTAGAATTTGCCTGAAAAAAACTAGTAGAGCACCTCAAACACTTGTTCAGGAAGATGCATAGAAAAGGAAAAATGTACCTTTCTAATTGAATGTCCATACATACTATTGTAGGCTGAATCTGCAGCAGCTAATTGTGCCCTGCTTCTCTCACTAAAAATTTTAATGAACATGTCCTCATCAGTTCCGAGTTTCTTCTCCCCAGCTTTATAGAGGGTTGTTGCATCGTTATCAGCAAGCATTCTATCAACTTCGAAACCTTCATAACGTTGCACGCTTACATATGCTAGCAAAAGCTGCAGCAGAGGTAATGTTTTGCCTCGTCAGCTTCTTACATATTATATGACTAGGACTCACATCATAAGGTATTGAAAATCACCAGAACGTTAAATACGTAGTAAGAGAAATGTTACCTTCTGGTGATCTCCAGAGGTATAATATTTTAGATCATGCTCTAGGTTGACCCCATACTCAGCATTGTAGGTCTGCTTGAAGATCTGTATTTGGGAAGGTGTACGAGAACAAATAACTTCAGTGGCACCTATGAGATCATCTGCAACCAATGCCTCCCTCACACTAACAGCATCGCGTGTTGCTGGATCTTCCCTCCAGAGCAAAACTGCATCCTGAAAAAAGATATAAATGTTGCAGTTACTCCGTATTAGACTTGTTTTACAACCGATGAAGCTGGGAATAGAAAAAAAGGAGGGTTGGGGAAAGGAAGAGCAAATCGCCACAAGCAGCCATTTAATCACTCAATTCAACTTACTCTTCGTATCAAAAAATGAATATAGGAAAGGAAATGGACTAAACACAGGCATAAAAATTCAGCTATAAGTACTATGAAAAAGTCTTTAATTCAAAAGAGCGAATCATGAGTGACATAATAACTCTAGTTTACCACTGAGCTCCTTTGACAACCGATGGAGAAGCTCTTCAGAGTACAAAGGTTCATATTCCTGCTTAATAGCTGCTCACTGTGAAGCATCACGATGAGCAAGAATATCGATCACTGCTGAAGTATCACAACCAAATCCTGGGGGGAAGGGTACTCAAGATAAGAGTCAGATTTCTTTCAGTTAAAAATGACAGTCATATGATATTTTGAGATCCTGCTGAAGTAAAGTTTAGAGTTAAAGATTCACAGAGTGCAGGCGCTGATATGAAAATTCTAACGCATACAGTTCAGGCACTGATAAGCCATTGTTCTTGAACAATTGAGTACAATCAGCGGGATAAAAACACTGTAAATCAGTGGAAACAGTAAAACGATTGAATAATACTTCGTAAGAGAGATTATTGATTACCTTTGAAAGCCTTGTAAAGTTTAGCAACATCATCACGAGTAGAAACTGGCATTGTAGGAACACTCAGACTTGACATTTTCGTCGCTAACTATTTTCTCAGGGATTGAATTACAAAAGCAAATTTCAATGTTCAAATATTTTTTTCTTTTTGGGTGCAATTTCAATGTTCAAATATGGCTTAATTTTATAATAAGTTCAAATTAGGTTGAGCATACGCTAGATTTTTCAACACACAAATAGATTAAAACTTTAGACTCATGATGGGAGAATTTTCAACTATGAACGCCATAATTCCATAAATATTCTGAAAATCAACTAGGTTTATGAAAGCTATGTTAGTTTTCATTCAATAATGGATAGCATAATTTTCTCCAGAGCACATTTTAATGATTGAAATATACGGAGCACTTCGTATTTATCTAATCACGACAGATACATATTACTCGCAATAAAATGTCCAAGATGCTGACTAAACTCAATAATTCAAAGAAACTCATATAATCTTCACTTATATCACATAGCCAACCTAATTAATGCTGAATAAAGTCTTCAATTCACACAATAATAAGTTCAATGTTGACAATTCTCTAACATAACACACATACATCCAAACACTCGCAACCACACACACACATCCTCAATATTATGGACCGAGGAGAGCAAGAAGAAATTTCCTGTAATTGCCAGAAGTTTCCGAGTGAAGTGCATCAACCAATGACTTCTTATACTTCTTCTGGTACTCGGCTTTGATATACTGCATATCAATCTCCACCCTTGTCACAATAACCCTGATGAGTGTTGTGTCATCAGTTCCCATACCCTTCATTGCTTTTCGTAGTACCTGCAATGCAACAAGGGGGGTCATTAGTTAGAAGCATTATTTATTTGACATATCATGGCAGGAGAAAGTTAAAAACAAAAACTATCATGAACCACCATTAGTAAAAAGTTCAAGCAGAAGGCCTCTATAGTTAACCAAGCAGAACTACATGCATGGGGTGCAGTTATAGAGCAGAGAAAGAATCACTCGATTTAAGTATCCAATTGCTAGAATGCACTTCACTTTGAAAGATGATAACTTGATAAGCTATAATAACAATTAAATAAAAGAGCATATCGCAGAAACAATAATACCACCCCCATGCTTCTCACAAAAGACCACTTAGTACTTCATTTCATTACTAGGATGCACTTAGTTTGAAAGATGAAAAGCTAAAGCGGTAAAGATTTTTTTATTTATTAATTTAAATAAATTTAACACACACAAAGACTGCAGACCCTTGTATCCATTTAATCATTGTAAGAGAATTCAATACAGAATAAGCGTGACTTGACAACTGCAAATACTCCAGAATTTCTATTGTAAAATTTACACAACATACAACAAATCATATGTGTTTCATAATTCATATATGTATAACCATCCAAACAGAATTAATCAACATAAGTCTGTTGGCGCATTTTTGAAACTAGAATCCTAATGTCCTTCCAGTGAACTAGTAAAGCATTGTTCATTGAAGAGCTGATTTCATGATGATTAGTAAAGGAAAAAATAACTAATCATGAAATATTCAAGAGTCACCTTCGCAAAGTACTTTGCTGGGTTTTCCGCACATCTTACGATTGTCAAAAGAGCATATGCAAAGACCCCTGACGTTTCTTTCTTTATAGCCTGCACCAAAAAATGCAAAAAATGATTAGTTGAGCATCTCACAATTTTGCACCAAAAAATCAAACAAAAATAATACCTTCTCAAGATTGTGACCATGCATTCTATTATAGGCTAAATCAGTAGCAGCTAGCTGTGCTCTGCTTCTTTCACTAAAAATTCTTATGAACATGTCCTCATCAGTTCCTAGTCTTTTCTCCCCAGCTCTATAGAGTGTCTTTGCATCGTTCTCAGCCATCATTGCATCTACTTCATAACCTTCATAACGCAGTATGGATATATATGCTAGCAAAAGCTGTGACAACAGTTGGTAATACATCTTGTCAGATCACAAGGTATTGAAATTCGCCATTTTGACAAAGTAAAAAAGAGTGTTACCTTCTTGTGGTCTCCGGAGGTATGCTTTTCTAGATCATGCTCTAGGTAGGTCCCAAATTTTGCATGGTAGATCTGCTTGAAGGTTTGTATCTGGGAAGGTGTACGAGAACATATAACTTCAGTGGCACCCCTGAGGTCATTTGCAGTCAGTGCCTGCCTCAAAACAACAGCATCACGCGATGCTGGATCTTGCATCCAGAGCAATACTGCATCCTGAACACACAGCACGCAGGTTACAATTGTTTGCCATTTACATTCACAAAAGGTGAAGCTTAGATAGAGGGCAAGGAAGACCAAAGAGGGAGGGGGGAGGACAATTCCATGGATCTATTAAAGCTATTCGTCGTATGGAAACATTAGCTATGGTAAGAACGCCAATCAAGTTACATGCATAGAAACTCAGTTAAATATGATTTATATATCAATGCAATCTAGTGGCTGTAACTTTGTAAAAGTAAATAATGGAGTTGAGCATATTAATTTAGAAATGTTAAAGAAAGAAAACCATGCCGAATCTTGGCATCTCATACCTCAAGTTTACCACTGAGCTCCTTAGACAATCGATGCAGAATATCTTCAGAATACAAAGCTCTGTATTCCTGCATGATAAATCCACGCTGTGTAGCATCACGATGAGCAAGAATGTTGATCACCGTTGTAGTGTCACAACCAAAACCTAAAAGAAAAAGTATTCAAGATAAGAAAAGGCTATAAGATCCTGCTACAACAAATCCATAAGTCCATAATTTAGTCTTTTCTCATGACAATTGAATGCAATGAAAATTCCAACATACAGAGTTAAAAGCGTAAACAGGCATAAACGCTGACTCGATATCCTCAGCATATCTTGAGACAAGATTCATAAAAGATCAAAAGCTAATTTTCTACATAATTAGGAAACAAATGATTTTATTTCCAATTTGGGGATTTAAACAAAAGAATTTCCCATTTTTTGCCACTAAACAAAAGAATCCAAGAACCTACTTGGAAAATTTAACCTACCTTTCCATCACCACATCTCATCCTACAACAATTCTTACAACTTTCCATTAATTACTAGGCTAACACACATTAGCGATACGTCGAACAAAGTGTACACGAATGAGGATTACTGTATTTAATCTTTGATCCCAAAATCAAAGCTAAGCTATCAATCAACACTTTGATCACAACACTAAGTTCAACAATTGCATAATTCTGTAAAACATTTCATAAATTCACACGATACCAAATAATATAGCCCTAATTCACATCAAACACTAAAATCCTTCAAATGAAAAACAAAAATTACAAAGAAAATAACGCAAATGTATCATAAAACCCTAACTATCATACATATTACAATTTCAAGAAAATTTAATCAACAATTCAGTCGAAACAGTAAAACGAAATGATTAATCGTCAAACTGGAAAAAAAGGAGTCAAAGGAGAGAGAAAGAAAGAGATAAGTTACCTTTGAAGGCCTTGTGAAGTTGAACGACGTCGTCGCGAGGAGAAAGCGGAACTGGAGGAATATTAACAGTGGACATCTTCGTCTTCTCCGAAGTTTTTTTATTCTCTCTCCTATTTGCGTTTTCTGTTTGTTGAATAATGCAGAGAGATATGATTGCTTGGATGAATTAAAAAATGAATTTATGGATATTCAGTATTTCAACTGTGACATGAATTAACAACACGTATGTAATTTGGTGTCTTTTAGCGAAAATACAGGGGATACATCTCTTTTTTTCAGGTGGTGAACAACACGTATCTCTCTTTTTTTTTATAGACGTTTTTTTTAGGGAACGTTGTAGGCTATCTAACTTGTTAAGTTGTTAAAAGTTTAATGTGTCACGTGGCATGTTATTGATAGCGTATTGAAATAATTATTATAAAAGAAAAAAAAAAAGTTTACTTGTTAACTAAGGTTGTTTTTATTTTTGTTTGAAGAAACTTGTTAACTATGGCTGATAACAGCACTTTGTTTGAGTAATAAAAGCTGTTTGATCGGTTCTCGTCAAAAAATAAAAAAATAAAAAAAATAAGGCTATTCTATAGAGAAAATACAAGTTCATATCAGGTTGTAACGAATTGTGTTTATATCAGGGCATGAAGATCATTTTGCGTGGTTTAATGAGGGGCAAATTCGACCAATCGAAGGTACAAGGCGGATTCCCATTTTTAGTATCCCGTTTGAAAGGGAAGACATGTCAACAGAAATGTTAACATCGTTACCTCTGAGTGATAACCTCGAGAACCGTATTTCGACTCACAAATCAGTCACGAATTTTCTCTCTCAATACCACTTTCAATCAGAACCGTCGGTGGCAGATTTCGCAAAACCCATAGATCTATGTATGTATGGCGGTCCCAGATTAAGTTCATGTCTCTCCAAGCTGCGATGTACACCAAATCACCTCCTCTTTCTTTGATTTCAAACAATTAGGGTTTGATTGTATCATCTAATACTGTTAACAAGGATTTTAAGGACATCATACGCGAGAATGGAAGAGGAGAATTACAGAACAGCAGACGGCGTCCAGGTTTTCGTGAATTAGAGAACCGTTACAAGTTGTCCTACACAATTGACACAAAACGGTTTCCACATCAGCATTCCACCACTAGCTAACACATTACTTCTTAGAAAAGAAAGCCAACTATTTACAACTATGCCATGTTATTAACAAACTTTGTTAATTTTTGTTAAGACTGTTATAAATGGGGACAGACTCTTTTCTATAAGTTCAATAAGATAGGATATAAGAGCAAATAATTAAGTAAGATAAGATAAAATTTAAAATACTAATAATAATAATAATACTATTTATGTTTCATATAATTGACAACGATTTGACATAAAGTATAAAGGAAAAAGGTCTCCTTTTTGCAAATAATACGAGGTAGTAAGTTAGATAAAAATTTAATACACTATCTGAACTATTTTATTCCAAACACACAAAAATAAAAAGAAAGATTATATTAGGCTAATGACAAATTATAAGAAATACAACTAAAAATGATACGAAATACAACCTAGTTAGGGCCTGTTCTCATTGACTGAACTCAACTGAACTGAATTGAGCTGAGCTTAACTGAACTAAATTGAAATGAATATTTTACAAGAGAAGGAAATTAGGAGCTGAACTGAACTGAATTTCAACGTATGAGAACAGACCCTTAGTTCATTGTACTTTCTAAAAAAAAAAAAAAGATTCGTTGCAAATGGTGGAGTGGGGGGAAAGAGAT